CCCCCCCCCGCGCCTTCCGGGTCTGTGGACCCCGTCCCCCCCACTCCCCGCCGCCGTCCGGTCTGTGAGCCCAGTCCCTCCCCGCCGTCTGGGTCACTGAGCCCCATTCCGCCCACCACCGTCGTCCCGGTCCTTGAGCGCCGGTCCCCCACGCCATTCCCAGCGGGGTCGGCGAGCCCGGTCCCCACCAACCCCGGCCGCGGTCCCTTCCCCCACACCGGGCCTCGCAGCGAGATGTTGTGGAAAGTCGGAGCACCGACCCGCATCGTGCGGGGACAGCTCTGTGGCCTCCGGAAGGGCGCCGCTGTGTTCTGTGCACCTGGTTCACCGCGCCGCTGGGAGGGCGCGCTCCCGCAAGTGCAAGGTCTCCCTGCCCTGCGAGAGTGCGAGTTAGCGGGTTAAGCTGGCACAGCCCGGGTTCATTCGCGGAGCTGTCCATTCACGGTGGGTGTCCCGCCGTCAGGGGCACCGCCTTCCCCAGGACGAGCTGGAGCCCGCCTTCGGTGTGGCCAGGGCTGCGCCATAGAGAGTTCAGAAGGAAAGAGTTCGGTTTGCGGAATGTGGAAGCGTGTGTCCCCCTTCCGAGGACGCTAGGACCGGACAAGTCGCGTGGGTGCTCGCGGAGGCCGGGGCTGGACTCCGCACTCACTCCGCAGCTGAATGCAGCGACTTCTGTCTCCGCCCTGCCGGTGTCCCTACCCCGCGCTTGGCGCCGGGTTCTGAGATGCTGTGCTTTCACTGCAAGCGAGCGAAGGCTCTGACAGTGCGTGCCGGCTCCGGCCGGCGCTGTCGTGGTGCAGTTCCGGGGTGCAGACCCCGTGACAGTGAGGACGGCAGGTGTGGACGCAGCTTCCCCTGACCGTGCGGCTCCTGCAGCTGGCCTCTCGGCGAGCCGTCATTCACCCCGGCCTATGCTGGTCCCCAAAACGGCGCTCTCAAGACATGTGTTCTGAAATAAATGGGATCGTTCTATATGGATTTGATTTTGTTCCCTTGACATTGTATTTTCACGCACACTGAAGTCCTATTACACTGACCCTGACTTATTCTAAATCGGAAAATGGGGAAGTAGGGTCAATGGCTCACTGACAAGAGTATCTTTCCATCATTTTCATGAAAGAAATGGTTGTAGACTTCGTTTTTTAAATTGATGTAGTAGGAACACTGATTAAACATCAGAGAAAATATTTGTAAATAGAATTAGTAGTAGCTCAAAGGAACAAAACCAAACATTAATTCCAGAATTGTAATAATGGTTTCCTGTAAAATATATTACTAAAAACATACTTAAATACTGCATCTATGGTTGAAATTAAGAAAGTTGTGAATGACTATTTCCAGTAGATGCCCAAGAGGCTTTAAGGAAATCCAACAACTTCTGCTAATATGTGTGTGTATATATAGGTAAAATGTATCTGCATATCTATCTTTTGCTAGTTTATATATATACGTAAGTTTAAACTGGGATAGAGGAATTCTTGAACATAGTAAGGGCTATGACACTAAATCAAGAATATCATTATATTGCTAATTGGAAAAACACTTAAGTACCTTTTGGAAATATTTGAATGTTCTTAGTGTCTGTAATGTTTTCCATTGGATACATTACAGAGTAGGAGCTCAAATTTATTGAACAAATAACTAAATGGGGGGAGAACAAACGAAAGAACTTTAGTCAGAAAATAAGCAAGTGCCTTGGTAAAATTTCTACATGTAATTTCTGAATGTGAATTCAATACTCAGAAACATCCAGCTTTCTGTTGAAGATGTTTTCTTTCTCAAGTTGGAATCCCCTGACTCTAAAGGCTATGAAAGAACAAAACCCTATAAAGTTCATCTAATTAAAATTACCTAAATTTCTGTCATTTCAATCTAGAATAGAAATAGAATAAACTTTTCTTTAAAAAAAAAAGGTGAAATCTCTCGTTCCCTTCACACTGTGCCTCTTTTTTTTTCTCATAAATATCTCCTCTTTTCCCCTTTCATTATATTTTAGCACCCACCTTGCCTGTCCCTTCTCTACCTGGTTTATACCCTATTCTTGATTACCCGCACATGTTCTCTCACCAGCCTCCTTGGTCCTTTGCACCCCTGTTCCTCTGCCTCAACCACCCAATAACTACTGGAGTCCTACTTCTCTGCTCCTTCACCTGAGTAATAAAAATGCTGCCAGAGAAAAATCACAAAACAATACAGACTGGCTCCACACAGATGAATGGTTTCCAGCTTTGCCTGAACAAGAATGGGGATCTCTGTTGTTCCTCTTAATGCCTGTGCCAGATCTTTATCATTTCCCTCAGCTCTCAGTAGACTGTCTTACTAGTCATGAGACAATAGACACCAGGAAGGCTCTCAGGTCCCTCTTCAACAACAACACAAACCCACATACTACCAACCACCACCCCCTGCCCCCAACCCCATCTTTTTTTCCAGGCTCACTGATGGGATACCACTTTTACTGTAGAAGATGAGTCTATTCACTTACTACCATAGCCTTTCCCCCCCCGCCCCCCCCCCCCCCCCGTCCTTCATACCCCTGGATTATAAATTATCCCATCTTATAATTTACTTTCAACTTGTAATGGCATTCTTTCCCTCCAGCCTATAAACACCCTCAGGTCTTGGCTATCCTTAAAACGAACTAAACTAACAATCAAACCCTTTGATCATAAGAACCCTTTTAACTTCATTCTAGTATCTCCTGTCTCCATATTCAGACATCTAAAAAGAATAGTCTAAGTTCACTATCTCTACCTTGAGTCACACTTGGTACTACATTCCACAATTAACTTAAGCTAATAAAATATAAATATGAAATTGTAAAAGAATATACTGATAGAAAATAGAATTTCATATTTTCCATGTGTTTGAAGTATAGTAACTTTACTTTTTGAAAGGAAAGAAATTTTAAGGGAAAAATACTTCAAAGATGACTAATAAAATTTTAGTGGAAGGAAAAATGGTATAAATACAATGATCTGGGAAAAATACTTAACACTATATTAGAGGATTAATATCTACACTATCTCTATTGAATTTATTGAAATTGATTTTTTTTAAATCAAGTTCTCAACAGATGAATGGCCAGTGACTATGAGCTAACAATTCACCAAAGAGGAAAATAAAAATTAGTAATCATACATGGAAAGTAGTCTATTTTGCTAATACATATATAATAAAACATGGTTTTCCACATGGTCTTTCTAGGAAAAAAAAAGTACTATGCTCATGAGGTTTTGAAACTTACATACATACATTTCTGATGACCTAAGTTTGTATAACCCTTCTAGAAACCTATTTTTGTCTATAAGTCACTAAAAGCTATAAAAAAATGTATATATCTTTTGTCCTGTATATCTACTGAAAAATTTCTCCAAGGGAATTGTTCAGCGAGATTTTATTAAGCCATTATTCTATTTTAAGCACCACGCCAGGCATTGGAGTTACAGAAATGTGGAGGAGACATGTACTCATAGGATGTACTCATGAAGGTGTCGGGTCATTCAGTGAGGGTTTTCTCCTGGAAAGTAGGAGGGGAACGGCTTGAGGTGGTCCTGAACCACCATTTTGAGAGATGATGGTGGATGTGTCATGGCTTGTTCTGTTAGTATCTTTGTGTGTCTGGGTGTGGGATTCATGCAGGGAAGTGTTGAGAACTGAAGTTGAAAAAACAGACCAGATTACAATGCTTTATATACTCTAGGTCAGGAGATTTAGAATTTATCGGGAATGTGACAGGAAGCTTTAAGAGAACAACATAGAATGAGAAATCCAATCAGATTTGCCTTTATTAGGTTTTATGAGGTTCATAATGAATGAAAAGATATGCAGTCTCCTTATCCGAGCTCATGATGTCTAAAAGTACAATTTTTTTCCCCAGGGAAAGTGAAATATGTATTCAGTTCTAATAGCAAATCAGATTTTTTTTTTTACACAGAATATTTGCTGGTCACATACTAATGCTAATGACTACACCTATTGGTTGTTCCACAAAGAATCATTATCCTTAGTATGAGGCTGTGATTATATTTATCAGGTGGCACTGACATTCATCCACTGGAGATATAAGCCGTTGTCCTTAACTTTGTGCTATTACTAGAGATATGAAAATCCATCTGGAGAAAAATTTAGAAGAAGAGCGTCAAATATTACTGCAGCAACAAAAAATATGTCGAAATCGAGCACGTAAATATTTTGTGGAATCAAACCGGAGAAAAAAGTAAGTAATTGTATTCTCTTCAAAAGTGTAGAAATTCAAAGTCATCATAAATTAATAGTTTCTCTACTTTGTAGCGTTTTATGAACTATGAACCGGAGTCATGACATCGCTTTATCTGTAAAACACTGATCAAGATTTGTGTGCCTTCATAAATTTTCTTACTGTTTTTCTGCCTAAAGCGCAAAGGTGGTGGTGTACTCATTCCACTGAGCGGGACCCTAGCAGCCTTTTCTTGTCACAGGACTTCTTATCACAGTGTCACAGGATGGCTGCAAAATGTGCTATCATCTTTGTTTTCTGTGTCCTTTTACGGTAAATTAAAAGGTTACTAATTAGTGTTTAGTGTGTAATGGGATGTAATTTACTACTCACTTCTGTATAACTGTGCTCATTCATCCAATCAGAAAGTGGGGGGATATAAATATGGTGGAATATGATGCAAAGAATATTATAAGTGACTACCATGAAAAAAAGAAAGCTTTCTAAGCTGGAAGCCTAATAAAATAAAAGTTTGAACCATCCAGTCACTGCTTAACATTTTTCAAGCTTTTCTTTGAATGATTAGATTTTGTTTTTTATACAGATTGTTAATAATGTTTTTGCTACCTTGTCTGTATTTCGTCAGTACATCAATAGCAGATCCCTAGAGTGTGTTAACTACATCATTGGGCATGTGTTGCAGATCCTGTTTGGGGAATACAAAATTGTTTACCTGTAACTTTTTTCTGGCATCATATTTCTCTTTAGATTAACTCTTTCATTGTCTGGTGTAGTTGACGTTACTTAATGACGTTACTTAAAGCTTGTTTTTTGTTTTGTATTTGTGTCTTACTGTTTTTCTCCTACCTCTTGTCTCTGGGGGCATATAAAAGGCACACGACAGGTGTTCAATAAAGATGCACAGTCATATGTTGAATCAATCATGGGCTCTGGAGTCAGAGATCTAGGTTTAAGTCCCCATTCCATGAGTTAGAGCAACTTAATCTCTTTGAGCCTCAGTTTCTCAGTTATGATTGGAATTAATAACATCTGTTTCAAGGGATTGTTATGTAGAGCAAAAAGGTAATATTAGGAATAGTTGAAAATGTGGAAAATATTTATCACACTGTCTGACCGATAGTGCTTCTTCCTTATTTAGTTTATTTTGTTGATTAATAATTAGTATTTGTCAATAGTGTGTTTTCTAATAACTGAATTACTTTGTAAAATAGCACAAAGTGCCTTCCTGTCTTCTCTCATCAAACACTTTTCTCATTAAAAAAACAGAATTTTGGGATGCCTGCCAGCTCGGGTCAGTTAAGTGTCTGCCTTTGGCTCAGGTCATGATCCTGGGGTCTTGGAATAGAGCCTCACATCGCGGCTCCTGCCCGCCACTCCCTCTGCTTGTGCTCTCTCTCTCTCTTTCAAAAAAATAAAATCTTTTTAAAAAACAAACAAACAAATCCCTGGAATTCTGATGTAGAAAGAAGAGAAATTTTAGTTTAAAATTCTAAGAGGCAGAACATTTTCCAATATAATTTATGTTTTATTTTTCTGTTACCCTACAGTGCTGTGTAAAGACACATAAACATTTCTTTTTAAATGCTAATTATTTTACTTTTTAAATGGGGGCCAAGTTATTCTGAATTCAAACATGTCCATCATCGTGGCCTTTTTGGCCTTGCCATTATCTATCCATTTATGTTTTACATCCTCTAAGTTTATGCTGTCTACTCACATTATGGTCACACAGTTTTTCTTAAAAAAACTATTTTTCTTACAAGTAGAGACGTTGTCCTTCCACTCTTAGTGAGTTATGTTTTGACATTAACAGTGCTGTGTCCCCTATAGTTTTCAAAGGAGAATGTTCACAGCATCAGGTTCTCTGTATTTATTGCCATCCGTTGCTTAAAATCGCACACATTTCTTTTTAAAGATTTTATGTATTCATTTGAGACACAGAGATACAGAGAGAGAGAACAGGAGCAGGGGGAGAGGCAGAGGGGGAGGGGGAAGCAGACTCCCCGCGGAGCAGGGAGCCCGATGGGGGCTCGATCCCAGGACCCTGGGATCATGACCTGAGCCGAAGGCAGACGCTTAACGACTGAGCCACCCAGGCGCCCCAAAATCACACACATTTTGATTTTCTGGTTATTTACTACTGCTTGGCTTTTCTGTTTGCCAGTATTTTTCTTATATGTTTTTATTACATTCTCAAGATTTCCATTCTCTCAGTATCTGTTGAATGGAGTCCCCTTTATTTTACTCCCAGGACCTCTACCTTCACCCCTACCTTCAGTAGATACTGCCCCAGTATGTACTGGTTATCTTTAGGCCTAATGCATAACTGGCATTCTGGGGCTTCCCTTTATTGCTCTTGCCTCCCATAGCATCCCTTTTGTTTGATTTTACAACATTATTAGTTCACTGGAGCACATCCTCACAAAGTTCTCCAATATGCTGCTATGTAGATCAAAGGACCAAATGATCTTAAGATACACATACACCTAGGGGCGCCTGGGTGGCTCAGTTGGTTAGGCGTCTGCCTTCGGCTCAGGTCATGATCCTGGAGTCCCGGGATCGAGTCCCGCATCGGGCTCCCTGCTCAGCAGGGGGTCTGCTTCTCCCTCTGACCCTCTTCCCTCTCGTTCTCTCTCTGTGTGTCAAATAAATAAATAAAAAATTTTATAAAAAAAAAGATACACATACACCTAAAGAAATTAACTATTTCCTACCTTTTTTTGATTTTCAATTTTGGAACTATCTTTGGTCAATAACTGAACAGGCATTTATTTACTGAACGAGCATAACTGGTTGAGTACTGATGATTAAACATTGTGTCAGGAGAAAAAAAAATTTTGTTTGTTATTAAACTTTAGAAATGGCAATCTGATTTAGTGTGACTTCATAAAGAAAAGAAATTGAAGTACATTTTAAGAAGTGTGCAAAAGGAACCTCAGATAGTTTTTTTAAAGTTTGTTTTAATTTTGTTTCTTCAATTTTTTTTTTTTTTTTTTTTTTTAAAGATTTTATTTATTTATTTGAGAGAGAGAGAATGAGAGATAGAGAGCCCAAGGTGGAAGAAATATGGAAGTTTCCTGAATACTTTTTTTTTTTTTTTTTTTTTAGATTTCAGATATGAGTGAAGTCATGTGGCATTTGTTTTTCTCCTTCTGGTTCATTTCACTTAGCATAATACTCTTTTAAGTTTCATCCATGTTGTCAGCAGTGGCAAGATTTCATTATATTTTATGGCTGAGTAGTATTCCAATGTATCAGTGTATCTTCTTCATTCATCTATCAATAGGCACTCAATATCTTGACTATTGTAATTAATGCTACAATGCACATAAGAATGTATATATTTTTTTTTAATTACTCTTTTTATGTTATTCAGATAAATACCCAGAAATGGAATAGTTGGGTCATACGGTAGTTATATTCTTCGTTTATTGAGGAACCTCCATATGGGTTTCCATAGTATTTGCACCAATTTACAATCTCATCAACAGTGGGTAAGGTTCCCGTTTCTCCATATCCTCTCCAATACCTGTGATTTCTTATCTTTTTGATAATAGCCATTTTAACTGTGAGGTGATTTCCTATAGGGGTTTTGATTGAATTTCTCTAATAATTAATGGTGTTGAGCATCTTATTCATATGCGTGTTGGCCATCTGTATGTCTTCTTTGGAAAAATTTTTATTCAGATCCTCTGCCCATTTTTAACCAGGTTGTTCATTTTCCTGTTCTTGAGTTGCATGAATTCTTTATATATTTTAGATGTTAACCCCTTATTGAATATATGGTTTGAGATTCAGATATATTGTGTGCAGTTGAGCAGGCTGCCTTTTCATTTTGTTGATGGTTTCCTTTGCTGTGCAGAAGGATTTTAGTTTCATGTAGTCCCATTTGTTGATTTTTGCTTTTTGTTGTTGTTCCCTTTGCTTTCAAAAAAACAATAGCTGTGATTAACATCAAGGAACTTACTGCCTATGTTTTCTTCTAGGAGTTGTATGGCTTTAGGTCTTACATTCAAGTCTTTAATCCATTTTAAGTTAATTTCTGTGTATAGTGTAAGACAGTGGTCTAATTTCATTCTTTTGCTTGAGATTGTTCCATTTCCTCAACACCATTAATTGAAGAGACTGTCCTTTCTCCATTGTTCTTGGCTTCTTTGTCCAAGATTAATTATCTGTATATGTGTAGGTTTATTTCTGGGTTCTCAGTCTGGTTCCATTAATCTGTATGTCTGTTTTTATACCAATAACATACTGTTTTGATTTCTATACGTTTGTAGTATAGTTTGATATCAGGGAGTGTGATACCTCCAGCTCTGATCTTTCTCAAGATTGTTTTGACTATTTGAGATCTTTTGTGGTTCCATACAAATTTTAGAATGATTCTGGTTCTATAAAGTATGCCATTGGTATTTGGATAGGGATTGCATTGAATCTGTAGATTGCTTTATGTGGTATGGACATTATCACAGTATTAATTTTTCTAATCTGTGAGCATAGAATACCTTTCCATTTATTTGCATCTTCAACGTCTTTCACCAGTGTCTTATAGTTTTCAGCATAGAGGGCTTCCCTCCTCTTATTCTTTTTGATGCAGTTGTAAATAGGATTGTTTTCTTGATTTATCTTTCTGATGCATCATTATTAGTGTATAGAAATGCAATGGATTTCTGTATATTGATTTTGTATCCTGCAACTTTACTGAATTCATTTATTCTAATGGTTTTTTTGGTGGATTCTTTGGGGTTTTCTGTATATAGTATCCTGTCATCTGGCAATAGTGACATTTTGTTTCTATCTTTCTGATTCTAATGCCTTTTTTCCCCCTTGCCTAACAGCCATGGCCCGGACTTCTGGTACTCTGTTGAATACTAGTGCCAAGAGTGAGCATCAAGATTAAGCATCCGTATCTTGTTCCTGTTCTTAGAGGATCACCATTATGATGTTAGTGGTGGGATTGTCCTATATGGCTTTTATTATTGTGTTTAGATACATTCCCTCTC